GGAGGGAAGGCAATTTCGGTTGAAATTGGAGATTAGCTCTCGTCACGTCATCTTTAAGATAAATTTGGAAACGAGAGTTGCCGTGGTTCTCGAAAGGGAACGCTAGCATCGCTCACTGCAGTGCCTCCCGCCGGCTGCCGTGATTCCAGGGATTTCAAGGGTCCGTGATGAAATACGGGGCGATTCCTCAGCTCGTCGCCACATGCGTTCACACGGGCTTTCGCAAAGAAACCCATCACCATAATTTCCTCGTTTTTTTCCATGGCTCTAAATGCAGTTTTAATTTAATTGAGTTCAATTGAGGCCGGGAATTGAACCCGGGCCTCCTGATTGCCGGTCAGGTGTGCTACCACTACACCACTGAACCCGTGACATCCAGTCAAGCCTCTCGATGCCATCCTAATCCGTCAATATATATATTTAAAAGCTTCTCCCCTCAAAATGTGTACCCCCAGGGCATGTACCTTCAAAGTCGGATTTTTTCTGAACTCTGCATTCCAAAGGGTACATGTGTATAAAGTTTCAGATTTCTAACTTCTCTAGAACATGGTTAGAATTAGCGTCAGTCAGTCAGTCACGATCGTCTATATATTGAAATAGTTCCAAAGCGTTGACATGATGCAGGATTGCTCCAGTCCGAAAACGAAATTTTAGAGAAAAATTTATGAGAAGGAAAATGTAATCTCATATTGCCAAAAGACCATGGCTTTTGCGCATCTTTTAACATGCATGCAAAAAAATGCTAAGACGACTCATTCTCGCCGAGGACAAAGCGGAGGGGAACGACAGCCACGAACACTGCATGACACCGACTCTGAACGGTCAGAAACCGAAATGCAAGCCTATTAAACTTATCCATCGAATGAGGGCCACCAACCCCACATACGAGTTTCGCCACCCCGCCGGTTGCCTCGAGGGTTTAATGACCGTTTTCCGAAGCGACGGGGTCGCTATAGGCCATATCTTCCCAGAAAATCGAATTGTGAGATCTGCGACTGATTGACAGGTTTCGGAAAATGCTTTACCTGAGTGCTTCAGTAGAGAAAATATTTTTTTATATTTTAAAGATTTTTCAGTTATTTTTTTACGTCCGTTTTTCAGTTCAGTTCCAGATCAAGTTAAGATTTCCTTGTGATAGAAGTCAACGGAGGAACTTCAGTCAGACCCAAGACTAAACAAAAATTAGAACAGAGTTGCTGCTTTGAAATCAGACAAAATTCAAAGGAAATGAAGACGCAGGAATCTCCAGTCCCCATATTTCTTTCCCTCTCCCTCATTAATCAAAACCCACTTGAATCTCAAGCAAGCCAGTTCTTACCACTTTCCCTGCCTTTTGCGTCTCGGAAACAAGACAACGGTTACGCAATTCCGAGTTTACGACACAAAAAGCCATATATTGAGCGAAATCGTAGGAGTAGAGAATAGGACATTCAGTCGCAGTAAAGTCATATTGCTGACCCACCCGTCGGTTCAAACCCCAGAAAACCGAGAACCTCTTGAGTCAATCATAAAAATCAGAAAGATAAACAGCCCCCCTAAAATCGTTTGCAAAACCGCATGGATCCTCGGAAAAATTTTCTTAACTGTGTAAAACCATTGGCGAAAACTCTGCGGCCGAGAGAACAAGTTCATCTGGCGGTTAGAGGAAGATTCTCATCGCAACGACTATCACATCGAACACAATGTTACTGGCAAAAAAACTCGCTCAAAATGATGTTTCCCATGTTGTCATTAAATTGTTCATTGACATCATATGTGTGATTTTATTTTAAAATGTAAACCTTCAGCATCTCGTGCTCCATCCTGTACACTGCGCAACTATGGGCGAAATATGCACATGAAAAAGAGGGGGGGGGGGGAGTTAGAGTCTATATTGCACTGTGACATGACTTGGATATGTTGCCGCGCTACCAAAGATATTTACATAGTGGTCGAATGCGTAATGACCGGGTGGCCCCCAGAGAGACTCCAAGCTCTCACCCGCGCGAGCACTTATCGCCATAGCTCAATAGTGTCCAATAGGATTTCGATGATCGCCAAACTTGTGTCGATCAGGTCACCATATTCGCCACATGATACAAATTATATGCACTATTAATTGAATGCGGAATCTTTTGAAAGTATGTTTCAGGTTATAAACCGTCATCTATCAAGACTGATATACAATAAAATACAAAGTAAAATGTGGGGATTGGCGAACGTATTGGACACCATGGTCATAGACGATAATACGTGTGAAGATATAAAAGTGAAATTACGGAATTACTTTTCCGTGCAGAACACTGGTAACGAACGCTTCGTCGCCGAAATTGGTCGCAAGTGTGACGAGATGCGATTTACAGTCGTTTACTGATATTTTCTTCGTTCATGTTCTTAGCCGAAATATCTTTCCCGTTACGTAATCGAATGGAATGTCTGGTCCTCTAGAATCTATTAATACATCAGAGAGTGATATGGAACTTTTTGGTGAGTTCGAAAACAGTTGCAAAGCGGTGTCATAAACAGTCACAGTATGGTTCCGTCAGAAATCGATATACTGAAGTGGAATTCCTAAAAAGGAAAATCTAATCTTGCTTCACGAATTGATCTGGGTTTGGCTCATGCATCATCACGTATGCAAATATCCGTGAAAACACGTGACTTATCCATATCTCTCTCGCTGAGGACAAGTTCGAAGATGGTGATGACACGGCATTTCAAATTCATCATCACGGTAGTCTTCGAAATGCACGCTGTCAAAAGAATTGATCGAAAAAAGCCATCCGAAGGTCACCAGACCCACTCTCGATGTTTCCACCTTGCCCAATAGGATTAACTCCTCACTTACACAAGCAGGAAATTCGCAATAGGATCTATTGGCGGATGCAGCCCAGTGACAAAATGGCATGCGAACAATCGACCGATTTTGGAAAATGTATTTCCGAAGTGTTGGACGAATCACAGTGGAGAGAGTTTTGCGTCTCGAAAACAGGACAAGGGATGGATGCACCATCTCTAAATGCATGAGGCAACGAACATCCTTCGTGGAGGGTAGAGCATGCATGCATACATAGGAGCATACTGGAGGACATTCAGTCGCAGGGTGTCCAGTCCTCCATGAGCATCAAGTGTGACTGCACAACCGAGTGATACGTCACTTCTCAATGTGAGTTTGCGATTTTAATAGAAGCTAAGGCATTTTACATTGTTTGATGCTAGCTTAACACAATTTTACTTTAATTGTATTTTTCTGCAGAACTATACTGCATCGTAAAGACTTAGAAATGCCAGCAACAGATTGAAATAGTATGAATATATATATATATGATTGCTTTATCAAGAAGGTCACCAGAATTTCATTTTACGAGATCTGAAATGAGAAAGTAGGAAATATCTTTGTAAAAAGCCATTTCACAAAGAATTTTTTTACTAGTAAAGCCCACAGATGAATTACTGAACTTCCAACACCGAGATCGCTCCCTCCAACGAGCTTAGTCGATGAATGAAATTGATGGACTGATGGACTGAATGTGGGGAATTTTTAAGAAGTACAATCTGCACGAAGATCAACGTAATCGTGTGAGACGGCATTCTGATTCATCCGGTTCGGCATTCTGATCAATCATTCTGTGACTATAATCGAACAGCAACTGAACTGTCGTTTTGAAATCAAGCTAAGTTCAAATGTAATGGGTCTGGAGATGCAGCAATCGTCTTCATTCCCTTACTGTGGTCGAGCCTTCGGCTCTCCATTACCTTGGATAGCGATTAATTCATTTATTCTTTGCGAAATGGCAAACACTTATTTAAAGTACGTCCCATTGGAATACGTGACATATGGTAACGAAAGTCTTCATTTTTATCAAAATCATTACTTCTATGACTTCCAGAGCCTAACTTGAAATCTTTTCATGTGTCCCTTTTTGTAAGGGTGGAGAATACATTATGCAATACTTCTCTCCTATAATCTACGCTCATGAGGCATATTTCAAAAGTAGGATTTTTCCCGTACTCAGCCATAAAACAGGTACTTCTGAGTGAATTTTAAATTTTCTGTTTCTGTTTCGTTGGATCGAAAAATAATTCACGAAAATAGGAATAAAAAAAAAGTTTCCTGATTTTTTTAAACGAATATTTATTTTTATTCTGAAATATAGACAAAGGGAACTCCATGCCACCCAGTTTCAGCCTAATACGTTTCCCCTTTTTGCTGGCGGTAAAAAATATATTTGGAAAAGCAACCCACCCAAAAGCTGTGCTCTGGGGAGACGCTCAGCAAAAGTTGAATTTTTCCTTAAATCAACATCACGTCCGTTATGCGTGCGCCAGCTGCTATTTTTCTATTTCTGCCTGATTCGCTAGCATATGAAAAAAATTCTTTAAAAACGTTACGTCCCCAAGAAATAGGCCCCCTAAAAACATTTTGGAAATTTGACATTTGACATTTCAGCTGAGTGCTTCGCATGTCACGTTCTTGCCATGTTACAGCTTTCCATGGGTCTCCGTTTGATTGAAGCAAAGAGAAGTATTTGAAAATATGTTCCCCGAAAAGGTGTGCCCCTATGGAGTGTATCACCAAAGTGGAATTTTTCCTGAACTCAAGATGTGAATAGCTACATATGTCAGTCAGCTGCTCACGATCATCTATATATAATATGAAAGTAGAATTGTTTCTTTACTCAGCTATTCATCAGGTACTTCTTTGCCAAGTTTAAACTTTCTACCACCCTACGTTTTGCTGAATCAGCAAATTGATGAAAATTTGGAAAATATCTGCCCTCGGGCGTTATAACAGTAAAGTACCATNGAAAGAGGATGAAATGAACTTTCTTTTAGTTTTTTTTTCGACTCTGTAGCCCAAACCGTTCAGGAGATATTCACATTTTTATACAGGGGCAAAAACTTTTGGCCCACCCTGTATATTAGATGCTTCCCTTTTTCCTCTTTCCTTATTCCTTGTGAATTTCAAAGTAGGCTTTAGTTCTTTCCCTGACTAGTGTGCCGTGAAAACAAGACAATGGATGAAGGTCATTCAAGGGGAGCGGAGCTTATATACGCTTTTCAGAGACTTAACCTAACTAAGGGAGACTCCAGGCAAATCTTGCACAACATATGGAGAGGGAAGGGTTCCCTTTGGGAAGCGAGTCTAGGGGATACGCATTTCTTGAGTGCCGCGTCGCCGTTGCCATGGGAAAAACAACCTCTCGAACGGTTAGGACAGAAAGTCTAGAGTTTCCTCTCAGAAATAGGGTAGGTGAATTCACACAAATTCCGATCCTGCTATAAATTCCGCAACCACGCTATGTACTTCAACTCAAACAGAAAAACTCAAACTATTTCAACTCACTTTTTGTCTCGATGAGCATGGGGGAATTTATTGAACATTCTTTCCCTTTTCCCGATGGATTGAGCGGCAGCAGGATGAAGATGATAGAGATGAATAAGGCTGGCTTCAAAACAGTAGCCCTGTCGCAATTGTGTAGAAGTTCAGCTTCAGTTCAAGTTAGGATTTTCTTGTAATAGAAGTCACACAACCCTGCTAAAAAAAAAAACTAACTAAAACCTCATGAGGAAATTCTCATGAGGCCACTTCTCGAAAGCCTCTTGAGGTTTTTTCTACAGTGAGATGGCGACTATAATGCCGTTCTGACGAGTATCCCCTTGATCTCATTGAAGTATCTCTCCTTTACTCTCAAATTTGGATGTAACATTTTATTTCTACATAGAAATAATCAAATATATTCGCTTTTCTAATAACACTTGTCCGAAAAGATTGCCTAGTTCAGTGAGACTTCGGGCAATTCTGGCCGACAGGATGGAATGAAGTATTGAAGATGGAACGAATGACAGTTGTATAACCGTCCGTATTTCTGCGTAAATCATTATTTCTTCTCTAAAGATTTGCGGGACCTCGCAAGCTGAGTCGCATGAAACCTTTCTTGGCTAACGAGGCAAGGGGTACCTGTATTCGAAAACCCCATTTAGTCAACCTCATGAGACACCTGTTCTAAGCCTCATCAGGTCGTTCTCATGAGACTTCCTGAGATTATCCTCATGAGATCTCTGTCCGAAAACCTAATGAGGTTTTTTCGGCAGGGTAGAACTTCAGTCAGACCAATGACTGAAGGGTGTGGGCCTCTCTGTTTCCAGGTATGTCACGCATTCTCATATGACTTCATCTACTTTTTCTGTATAATTTCAGATGCTTCCCTCATTCGGCTTCATTCTCCTTCCTCTGCTTTCCTTCCATGCACTTCTTACGACTCTCGCAGATACAACCGAGATTCCCTCATGCGATTCCTCCTCGGCCTTTCACAGCCCATCCAACCAATGTCAGCAGCTGTTGGAGGGAGATGTCTGCAAAGAAGGCGAATGGCTCGTCTTGAACCGGAGCACCAAGGAAGCAGAATGCCGAAACCGGACTTGTGGCAGGTCCGAGCTTCCACTTTATTCCGAACCGGATCTCTGCATTCCTATCAATAGCCCCAGAGGACACTGCGGGAAAAATCAGGTCCTGGTTGCTGATCAATTCGGTTTCGGGCATTGCGAGTGCTCCATGTACGAGCGACGTTACATCTACTGGCCCCCAGACAAAAATTGTTATCGAGTGTTCAATCGAGGCCCCTGTGACCCCGGAAACATCTTCATCGACAGCCGAAATGGAACCGCAGTCTGCAAATGGAATCCCTGCCCCGATAACAAGATCTACTGGCTTTCTCTCGGCGAATGCGTCTCAGAGGAAGACCCCGCCCTCTGTCCTTCATCCATGCCCTTGACCATAGACCGCCTACCTGACCAGCAAATCACCCTAGCCTGCAAGGAAGAAATCGGACACGAAGCGATCGGCTCCTACACTTTTCGGACGTGCACACCCGGCAGCATAAGCGAGGCGGAGGGCAAGTGCGAAGGCACAATCTCTTTGAATCTGTGTCCACCAGGGAAGGAAGAAGATTTGTTCGGCGGATGCCGAAAATCCTCGAGCTGAAATTCCTTCAACGATGTCAAGAATCTTGCCGAAAGCATTTGAAAACCTGTATATTGCATTAGTTCACAATGAAATTCATCCTGTGAAGTTCATTTTTTCTCTTTCTTTGGCCACGAGGGGTAAGGACTTGATTTTCGTCCCTTCCAGCAATTTTTTTTGTATCCCCCAATTTCTCTTTTGCGTCTCCCTTCCACCTTTTCTCCGTGTTGCTACTGCATTTGAGAGATTTTCAAATGCTAATAACGAACGTTGAGAATTTCGTCAATTCATCACAGGTGGCGGAGATTTACGTCTCCATGCAGATTATTTCATTACTTAGACTCATATATTTTTGCTGAATGCGTTACGTTTTTTAATGTTGCAAATATGACCAGTTCGACATGTATTTTTTCGCACATTTTCTCCCTTACTTCCTCTGGTATTATTGCGTTGCAGTCGACGGACTGAATGATGCCAATTTTAAAGAGACTGAGTCTTCACGAAAAGATACAACCAATCGTGCAAAATAACATTTCAGCATGACACTGCAAAAAAACTTAAACCATTATTTGGCACAGTGGCTTGGGACCAAAATAAATTGAAAATGTCGGGAAAACCAGTAGGAACGCATTTACATCGTCCGCTAATCCCAAATCAATGCAACGGTTTCTTGAACTAAAAAAAAAATTGGCCGGCATCTCTATCCGATAATAAAGTTATTTCAGGATCATTCCTTCAAGGAATAATTAAAACACCAACCTTAGTTGGCAATTCATTTATTTTATTTCATTGTTAATATTATTTTTAAAATTTCAGAGCAAAAATAGGATGAATTTCGAGCATTGAGACTCTCATGCGAAACTAGGCGGAAGGTCAGCAGACTCGTCGCCAAGTTAAGAAATACAATAGGGGTAACATTGGTCGACACAGCGGTTACTTAACCGCGATGCATATCAACCTTCATTGAAGAAGAAAGGAAACTGGATAAGTATGGAAAATCACTTCTAATGAAATTTGGTCGGACAATGTCTATGACGATGACAGCATAAAAGTAGGCGGAATTTATCCGGAAATAAACTTTTCGCTCACAAAAAATTATTTTCAACGGTTGAGGTTCGGGTTTAATTAATGTGGGCCGTGTATGAATGCACAAAGAGAAAATGGAATTGCAATGATTTCGAATGGTTGCGGTTTTCGGGATAGATTGACACTCCCGAACCCTATTTTGACCCAAGCACAAAACGTCCGAATCGTCGGAAAAGTCCAGAAATCATCTACAGGAGGATAATCGCGATTACTTCCTCGAGGCCCCAACAGAGGAACGAGGACCGTGTTAAGAAACTCGCCATTTACGCTCCCATATCTTCGAATGGAAAACCTTACTCGAGACGGCCGAAACGGAGGAAAGGAAAGGAACCGATCCAACACATTTAAGATATGCAAATTACAGATTTTGAAATCTTTGGAGAGTCGCCCAACCCAGTCGGAACCCAACCCGCCATCGAACGAACGCCGATGACGTCACTCTTGTTCCGTCATTCTATCGCCATGTCGGAATCGCGAATTTCTGTGCCATATTCACGTGCATTTGCCCCTCCCAAATGATCGTGTCTAGGTTCACCGTCGCCTTTTTGAGGTCAATGTTGAGACACTACAAATACTATACTGCGTATTGAAACCCTTTGTGCCGACCCCTCATTTACCTTACTAACGAGCGTGTCTCTGTTTGTGTGTCCGAGGCCGTTTCTCCTCCTAGACGGTTTGATCCTTGACCCTGAAACTTTAAATATAGGCTTCCTAGGGGTGGGGAATCAGGACGACGGAGTTTAGTGACCCTGCCTCCGATGGGTCGTTGGGTCGCCTTGGGTCACCATGGTCACTTTTCGTCAAAATAGCCTCATAAATTGTGTGTAGCTGTTATTTAATCCCCGGGGTTTCCCGGTCAAGTTCATTTTTCTGTGACCTTTCCCATTTGAGATATTAGAGGTCAAAGGTCAACATTTCGGAGTCATTTTCCCGGTCAAGCCGTGCACTCCGAGTCTTACAATTTTACATTTCAGGTCTTGGAGGACTTCCACACCCAATGCTACATAAAACGTTCAAAAGAATTTGCGATTTCCAGTTTTTCTTGCGCCTGCCGTCGAGCCAGTGGCGCGTGCTGTCGCAAACACGGTTGATGCACGGGCATCCGATGAGGGGGTGGCAGCCAAGGGAATCTGATACAAATTTGTCGCTTACACATCCAGGCAGGTGGCGCGACATGTCCCCTTTTCTCTAGCCTACGGCTTCGGCTACAAGCAAGCCCGTAGCCCATGGCCCTGTCGAATGTGTCGAAACTCTGTTTCTGGCCCCTTTAAGGAGAGCATCCATTGCCCTTTTAAGGGTGTCGTGACGTCATAAGAATGCCACGTAAAAGAAGAATAACTGCCTCTTGATATCACTATTTACTGCACTTGTACAATTATTTCACTACCTTTAATCGCCTCTTGATATCACTATCTTGAATCTTGAATAACCGTTTCTGGTGAGGCGAAGCGCGCATAACACCAAACTCCAACGGGATGCGCGCGCAGAGGAGACTGGAACGGCAGACTCAGAGACGCTCCACAAACGCCAAAAGCATGGCCACGGTCCGCGCGAATGAGACTACCGAACAGCAGGCTAAAAGACGCTCTGTAAATGCTGAAAAAATGGCGGAAGCGAACACGCAGCGAAACCGACGGTGAACGGTCTGAACGTCAGTCGGCAGATACGGCAGCGCATTCAGCTTCCCGAGTTGCCGTGACAGCCGAAACGCGTCGTGATAGAGAAATGCCGCTCGACAGCGAATGCTTGCGCGAGGTGATCGCACACGAAATCTGGCCCTTTCTGACTCGATCGATGAATCGCAAGTGGAAGAGGATCATCTTGCGACGTTGGATATTCTTTGTGACAACTGTCACTCTAAGAATTTTGCCCAAGAAAAGCCACGCGATGGTCAATTTACTGTTTGTTGCCCAAAAGACAAGTTGAACCTTCCCAAGATGAAGGAGTTTCCAGAGTACCCGAAGAACTTGATGACTGGAAACGATGCGAATCCGGAAAACTTCCGCGAGAACATCCGGAAATTCAACAATGCTTTTGCTTTTGCGCGAATGGGTGCTGGAGTGCGTCCACCAACTGTATATGACCCGTATTGTTTTCGCATTCATGGCCAAATATACCACCGCACTGCGCTTCTTCATCCGGGAGTTGGTGTAACGCGCAAGTTTCCACAAATTTACATTTTGGATGCGAACGAGGCCCTCCAACAGAGAATGACAATGAGAGAGAGACGGCTGCAACCGTACTGTTATGTAAAATTTAGATCTTCTCACGAGGGAGATCGATCCATTTGCCCATGCGTTTCAGATGATGGGTGCCGTGGAATTGGAGGAAGAACAAAAAGCTCTTAAGGAGGGTCGAGAAATTCACCCCGTCGTCATGTCCATGCGGACTGTCCAATCTGACGACCGGCGACGCTACAACGCACCGAAAGCGAATGAAATGGCCATCATTTCAAAATGCTGACGGGGTACCACCGTTCGAACGTGACATTCACATCCAATCTGGGGCCACAAATGCAACTGTTTTTTCGGGACTGCGACCCGATGACATATCCCATTCTTTTCCTAAGAGGAGGGAAGGATTGGGAGATTGGAACATTGATATCACACACGGCCAGCTTTACGTTGCGTTTCCGAGTGCTCGCTCTGAGACCGATTTCAAAGTCAAGATTCTTACTACGGATAACCACACAGCAAAGCAGAAACGTACAGTCAGGTACACATTTTGTACGTTATGAGGTACAAACGTTGTCGTAAAATACGTTCGTTGAAAAGGTACAATACATTTTGGATGCGAACGAGGCCCTCCAACAGAGAATGACAATGAGAGAGAGACGGCTGCAACCGTACTGTTATGTAAAATTTAGATCTTCTCACGAGGGAGATCGATCCATTTGCCCATGCGTTTAAGATGATGGGTGCCGTGGAATTGGAGGAAGAAGAAAAAGCTCTTAAGGAGGGTCGAGAAATTCACCCCGTCGTCATGTCCATGCGGACTGTCCAATCTGACGACCGGCGACGCTACGACGCACCGAAAGCGAATGAAATGGCCATCATTTTCCAAAACGCTGACGGGGTACCACCGTTCGAACGTGACATTCGCATCCATTCTGGGGCGACAAATGCAACAGAGTTTCTTTCGGGACTGCGACCCGATGACGTATCCCATTCTTTTCCTAAGAGGAGGGAAGGATCGGGAGATTGGAACATTGATATCACACACGGCCAGCTTTACGTTGCGTTTCCGAGTGCTCGCTCTAAGACCGATTTCAAAGTCAAGATTCTTACTACGGATAACCAGGGTCGACACATACCCAGATCCAAAAAAATGTTCACGCGAAACCCCGTGTACAAAGACAGCTATTTCTGTCTTTTTATTGTGGATCTCTTGTTTTGTTTTTAGGAGGCTTTTATATTCTTTTCTGGTTTGGCAATATAGATCCCTGTGCTCAGATCGTCCGTTCTTTAATAGGTGTAACAGCCGGAGAGCTTCCCGTTGTTTGATACGACACTCTTTGTCATACCAAGGTTTCGAATTGCCGTGTCGTTTCCCTTTCCTTTTAACCGATTCCAGAATGGTGCTTTGGAGTGTTTCGTAGCCCAATTCGGTGTCGCCCATATCCAGGTGCTAAGAAAGTACGTGAAGATATCGATGAGTAGACAGTCTGGTTATGTCTATTTCCCACGAGAGGTACGTTTTCGGGTCCCTGATATTGTTACTTACAGTTGTTATTGGATTCAATAAGGACCATTTGACATTGACGGGCAAGTGCTTGCGCAGAGGGTTTTGTAGTATGGATATTTCAATAACTTCTGACAGCAGATCGGAGAACATTAGGTCGATCACACTTGACCCGTTGTGGCATATGTATGATATATCGGGGACTGGGAGTCGTTGATCATCTCCAGTCCATTGGATCTTGTTATGAACTCCAG